CCCGCTCTCCTGCCATGTCATTTCTACATGCCGAGAGAGCTGGCCAAAGCATGTAATGGAGGCCAGGTGAATGTCTGGACACTGGACACCCATTCCAGAAAGCGCACGGATTCTCCTGGGAGAAAGGCCTGTCTGGATCCGCCCTGAGAGAGCGCAACATGCCCTTTTCCTCTCCAGTGGGTTTCCAAGGCTGAGTTGGGATTCAAACCCTAGTCTCCCAGACTCAGTTTTGGCCTTTGATCAATCAGAAAGATGTTGGTTTTGATAAAGAGGCTGGACATCGACCTGCTGCTGGAGATGCTTTGGCTGGAGGTCCTGAACCGAGGAAGGGGTAGGACTAGATGGCCTCTGGGGCCCTGTGCCAACTCAGTGATGAGATCAGCTCTTCAGCAAAAGTCATTCTTAGCCTGGGAATGCATCCTCCACCTTGGGCCAGGCCCAGCACTCCTGAGCATAAGAAAGACCCCTGAGATCTCATATGGATCCCTCTGACTATCACTTCTGCTTTCCTTTTGCAAGATGGTGAAACTCTGGGTGGGCCTACTGACCACACTGACGATCCTGGTTGGACATGGAGAGGCCAGTGCCTGCAAGCCGGAGCTGGATGGCTATGGTAAGACCAACAGAGAGGGACTGATAGAACAAGGAAAAGACATGGCACACAGGTGATGGTGACATTCTAACAGGGGACACCTTCTTAGTCTACTTGCAAAAGGTTAATTCACAGAGCTTTTTTTCGTGCTAGGAGAGACTTGAGAAACTGCAAGTCGCTTCTGGGGTGAGAGAATTGGCCATCTGCAAGGACGTTGACCAGGGGATGCCCAGGGGTTACCATCCTTGTAGGAGGCTTCACTCATGTCCAGGCATGGGGAGCTGGAGCTGACAGAGGGAGCTCATCCACGCTCTCCCTGGATTCAAACCTCTGACCTGTTAGTCTTCAGTCCTGCTGTGGCTTCTATTAACAGAGCTCAATTTGGGGGATAATGGAGAAGTGGATCCAGGAGCGGAAATACAGTACAGAATAGGTACAGAGGCAGCAGAGAAATATCTGGCTAATCTAAATGGGTTCATGTCTTCAGAGCCACATTATGTAGCATTATTTTATGTAGCATTATTAGATTATTTTATTTATTTATTTGCATTATTTATATTCCATGCTTGTGACGGCACAAGTGGTGCCACCTGTGTGTAGAACTTTGAAGTGCAAAGATTTAAACTGTATAACATGCCCAAACTTGCCTAGTTTGTAAATGTATAGTTGGATTGATTGGTTATTTATAGCTGTCAATCAATGTTGTTTGCACCAGTTATATTGCTTCCTCAGCTCAATTGCTTGGCTCCACTTCTTCCTGGAGGAGGGCAGAGCTTTTCCTTTTCCATTCTACCATCAAACTTTCTATCAGAGAGACGTGAGAAAGAGACTTGGCTCTAAAGGCCTTAATTAAGTTACCTCTTGTAATAAAGATTAAGGAACGAGGTGTCCCTTAACACTCCTTGCGTGACAGGAATTTGCATGAGGGAATGACTAATGATGTGAGAGACCGATGATACTGGTAGATTTTTGCCGCCACCACCTCAATTTTATTGTTTGAGGAAACAAAGGTGTGAATGTGTTTGAGGTAATATACACCCAGCTTCTGGTTCTTCTTTTTGGGCTCCTTTGCTTGCTGACTGGACTATAAAGAGATTTAGATTGACTTGGTTTCACTAAGTACGACAGACTGAGGCAGACACCAGTTAACGATGAACTAATAACAGGTTTATTGAACTTTAAGAAGATGACAACTCATAAAATGCGAGGTACACACACGTATTGTTGTTACTGAGGCTTAGGCTTATTAGACATAAAGTTTCTACAGAAGGTGTAGCTTTTACTTGAAGTGAGTTCCCTTCTTCACACTATTCAACTCTTTGAAACAGTGTGTTTCTAAGATCAGTCCCTCTGACTGTCTTGCAGAGTAACCAGACTTTCTTCAGTCTACTCTCCACTATAGGGCAATAAGCCTTCTTGTATTATCTCCTGAATACAAGCTGACAAGTCTTCTCACTGGCTAATCTTAGTACAGCTCTGGGCATGAAGTATGAGTCCCAAGGGTAAAAATCTTAGAATTGGTGATGAGAGGTAACTTAATCAAGGGTTTTAAAGCCAAGTCTCTTTCTCACGTCTATCTGATAGAAAGTTTGATGGTAGAATGGAAAAGGAAAAGCTCTGCCCTCCTCCAGGAAGAGGTGGAGCCAAGCAATTGAGCTGAGGAAGCAATATAACTGGTGCAAACAACATTGATTGACAGCTATAAATAACCAATCAATCCAACTATACATTTACAAACTAGGCAAGTTTGGGCATGTTATACAGTTTAAACCTTTGCACTTTAAAGTTCTACACACAGGTGACGCCACTCGCACCGTCACACTGCTGCTAGTCCTGTCGTTGGGGGACCAAGGCTTAATGATTTTAAACCATTTCACTCCTTAGTAAACTATAGATCCCCAACTATAGATCATTTTTATTTGGGGAGGGGAGTAGTGGCGTTTGATAACATAATCTCCAATTCAGTAAGGCCTTTATCGAGGTCACCCTTGACATTCCCACGAGTAAGGTTATAAAATGTCTGCTAGACAATGCTACTGTTAGGTGGAATGGGTCCTTGAGGTCTCTTCCAACCTTCTATGATTCTATCATTCCAGTTCAGAACCTGGCCAAAGGCCGCCCGACTTTCCAGTCCTCTGTCTACTCGCATCCGATCGTTGGCTGGGCTAGCAATGCGGTGGATGGAAATTGCAACGGGGACTGGTATGCCAAGTCCTGCATCCACACCAACAACGACCTGGAGCCCTGGTGGTATGTGGACCTGGAAGACCGCTATGGCATTGGAGCCGTGGTGGTGAAGAACCGGGGGGACTGCTGCGGGGAGAGACTTGACAGGGCTCAGGTCTATGTTGGGAACAATATAGCGGATCCCAAATCCAACTTCCTGTGAGTCCCTTCACCTTCCTGTCTGCATTGAAGATCTCTCTGTCTCTCGTGTGAACTCCCTTGACACTTTGACCATTGTAATTCTCTTATACATTCATGGTGGGGAAAGAGCCCAAAACCCTAAAACATTAAACCACGCACAACATACATTTTGGGTGAGAGGCCATACGGGATCCCATTAATGAAGTCGAACATGACCCCCCCCCCCATAAGAGATAGTAACTTATAGTTTTGCTAAGGGCAAGGACACCAGACTGGATAATAAGGGTTAAGCCTTGGTCAGTTTGGTGTGTATCATTGAATCAAGGCTTTATGCCCTATTTTCATATGTTTATAGCAGAAGGTAACCAATTTATTACTGAAAATCATGCCACAAAAGTATTTGAATTTTCCCATCTGAGGCACACCTGGGCTCCTGAGGGTCCCCCACCTCACAAACAAGGGACTCTCTTTCCCCCTCAGGGATACATTTCCCTTTATGGACCTTCCTATGAATAATATCAACTATGGACACTGGGGGAGGGTAGTTGGGTTTACTCTCTGTATTAGGATTTCTATATTTTCATATTTTCTCCTGTATTTCTATATTTCCCTTCATGTATTTGACCTTGCCCTGACCCTTTTGCCCCCCTCCCTTCTCCTTGAGGAAAATGTATAAGGAAGTCGCCCTGCCTTTGCAAAAAGCAATTAGCGATCGTGAAGACACTTATAAATAAATAAATAAATAAATAAATAAATAAATAAAATATCTCAGAACCTTTCTTGCATAGAAAATTGACAAAGAATTATTTTCTTGACTTCGGAGTCGGGCCATCAAGAAGATAATCATTTGGCAGACTTTTTAATCACATTACAATGGGGAGAAACAAGGACCTTCAGGAAGTCCTCTTCCCCCAACCCGTTTTCTTTCAAGCCTTTCCATTAAAGACATTCACCCAAAATCTCCCCCATTGTACCCCTGCCTGACTGCAAGAGGAAAACTCGGATTAAGTGATCAATGCTTATCTCAGATCAACCACGACACAATAGACAGGTTTCGCTTGAAGGCCATTTAGGACTCGCTGAGCCACATGGACATTTCCTGAGTTCCATAATCCATTCAAGAATGCATTGTATTCCCTTGTCCCACCTCCCTCCCTCCTGATTCGTCGATGCGCCAAGGCGGCAGAAGCCCTGTGATTGGCCCAGGCGCTGAGGGGCAGACAAGCCTCCTCCCAGTTGTTGAGGTGCCAGCCAATCACCTTCAAGCCAGGCAGGGGGGGGGGGGGGGGGGAGATTCAAACCCCACACTCTGTTTTTTCTATGAAAATGGCATTTATTTCTGTACATGTATGCTTAGCTTGGCGAATGAATGCTGCTTTGCATCCTTTTCAGCTGAATCGCTAATAAATGGTGGCGCTTTCTTCCACATTGGTGAGATTCTTTTTGGGAACCTAGGGGAATTAAAAAAGACCCCACTACCTCATAGATGCAGGCGAAACATCAGGAGAGAATGCCTCTAGAACATGGACATATAGCCCGAAAAAACTAACAACAACACAGTGATTCCGGCCATGAAAGCTTCAACAATACATTGATTTTCTTTCTTCCCTGCCTTCCTTTCATAGCAAAACATTCCCTATAATTCGTTTAGGTTAGCCAGATATTCCTGTACAGCGTCTTTACTTCTTCCGTGCTGCATTTCCCCTACGACATAATCGAATAATGCATTGATTGAGTTCTCCACCAATTCTCATCATGGATTGATATCTGCCATGCGCTTTCTCTCCCCTCTTTGCAGCTGTGGGCCCATCACAGACACCAGCCTGGGCTCCGTCAACACCATCTCCTGCTACGGGTACGAGGGTCAGTACGTGTTCATCATCATCCCCGGCAGGCAAGAGTACCTCCACGTCTGTGAGGTCGAAGTCTTTGGCGTCAAGGGGTGTCCAGTGCGCTAAAGGATGGCCCCGCCAGAGGGCAGAAGCCAGGATTGCACAGCAATAAATCTTATTCTGATGCAGCTTTGGGTGTCTGGTCTCTTCCTTGTCTCGTATTAGCAAGAACTGCTGGTGCATTTTTGGGCCAAGGGTGAATCAGGACATTATCATAAAAGACTTCAAGTGAGCATTTCTTCATTTATTTATCGTGTCAGGAGCAACCAGGCTTTTGTATTGTATTTTTAACAAAACAAACAAACAGACAAAGTTTGCAAGCTTGGTAGTTGATCAGATGTCCTTTGGCAACTATCTGGCCTCTGGTGTTGCCGCAAGGAGGTCCTCCATGGTGCATGTGGTTGCATTGCAGCAGGTGGTCAGTGGTTTGCTCTTCTCCACACTCGCATGTCGTGGATTCCACTTTGTGGCCCCATTTCTTAAGATTGGCTCTGCATCTCGTGGTGCCAGAGCGCAGTCTGTTCAGCGCCTTCCAAGTCGCCCAGTCTTCTGTGTGCCCAGAGGGGAGTCTCTCATTTGGTATCAAGTTCTGGGGTTGAGCCTGCCACTTTTGGACTCTCGCTTGCTGGGGTGTTCCAGCGAGTGTCTCTGTAGATCTTAGAAAACTATGTCTTGATTTCAGTCGTTGACGTGCTGGCTGATACCCAAAAAAGGGATGGGCTGGAGATGTCACTGCCTTGGTCCTTTCACTATTGGCTGCTACTTCCCGGCGGATGTCAGGTGGTGCAATGCCGGCTAGACAGTGTAATTTCTCCAGTGGTGTAGGGCGCAGGCACCACGTGATAATGCAGCATGTCTCATTAAGAGCCACATCCACTGTTTGAGCGTGGTGAGATGTGTTCCACACTGGGCATGTATACTCAGCAGCAGAGTAGCATAGTGCAAGGGCAGATGTCTTCACTGTGTCTGGTTGTGATCCCCAGGTTGTGCCAGTCAGCTTTCGTATGATATTGTTTCTAGCACCCACTTTTTCCTTGATATTCAGGCAGTGGTTCTTGTAGGTCAGAGCACGGTCCAGAGTGACTCCCAAGTATTTGGGTGTGCTTAATGCTCCAGTAGGATTCCTTCCCAGGTGATCCCCAGAGCTCGGGATGCTTGTCTGTTAAGATGGAAAGCACATGTCTGTGTTTTAGATGGGTTAGGGATCAGCTGGTTTTCCCTATAATAGGCAGTAAGAGAACCTAGAGCTTCGGAGAGCTTCTGTTCAACCATCTCAAAGCTCCCTGCTTGAGCGGTGATGGCACTATCATCAGCATAGATGAAACTCTCTGTCCCTTCTGGCAGTGGCTGGTCATTTGTGTAAATGTTGAACATTGATGGAGCATGCACATTCCCCTGAGGCAGGCCGTTCTTCTGTTTCCGCCATCTGCTTCTATGGCCCTGGAACTCAACAAAAAAGCTCCTGTTTTGTAGCAGGTTTATTAGAAAGCTAAGCTGACAGGACAAAGGGATGCTGAAGTATCTGGGTCCAAGGCAAGAGGGAGGTGAACATTCCATTGGGGGAGATAAGAAAGTCCTGGTACCAACAGATTTAAGTAAAAAGTGAGGAGTTTCTCTCCCTCCCTCCCGACACGTCAAAAGTAGGCCCCTGATGGATGTAAGCTGCTCTTTAGAAAAAATACTGAGGCATGTCCCTTGCATGTAGAAGATATTTGACATTTCTATGATGCTAAAGGTGACGTAGTGATGATGTCAACGTATGTAGCAGCATGTTTCTTTGTTTGCATGCATTTGAAGATGTATAAAGGGAAAGTCAACGCCTTTATGTTAGGCCTGTGCGATTCGTTTCGTTAATTCGTTAATTCGTTAATAATTCGTTAATTTTACCATTTCCGA